TAAATGAAAATGTTCTCTTATGTACAAAATGTGAAAACTAAAACTAAAAAGCAGAAATGTTACAGATGTTATATTGTGTTGGCTGTCAAGAAAAATAAGTTTTGAAAATGGCAGTAGTACAGTGGACAAAAAAAGGTATCACCCTGAATAACTTTTGTTCTAATGAGTGGATTTTCACGTACTCAATGTCAATCTTAATGGTTCCTGGGGTGACCTCAGATATGCAAATTATTTAGTGCTAACTGTTAATGAAGTTACGAAATCAGACACAAAAACGTACTTTCTCTGAATAAACATATTTCTTTTACATATTTGGATTCTTAACCTTCAAAATATATGGGGTTGCCGTAACCTGGGAACTATGGTCCCCATTGTTTGGTCAGGAGAGCGATCCAAAGTTCGAACCCCTTAATGTTAATTTCACTTTTTGCGTTTTTATTCATATTTTTGAAACTAATTTTAAAAAAATTGCACCCACTTATAAAATCCATTTACCCAAAGATAATTTCATGCAGAAAATAATTTTTAATAATAATTTATTATTTTTAATCATTTAATTTAATTGATGAAAAAATTTTGAATTATGAGGTACAATTTTTTTATACCATATTAATCTATATATTTTTCTATTGAAAAATCTAAAGTTTAAACTGTTTTTATTTAGTAGAAGCCGAAGAAAATTAAAATTATTTATTTTTAAAAAAATAATTTGTCTATAATGAAGAAATATTGAAATGGGACTATTAATATTGAAATGTGGTTAATTTACGAGGAACTGGACTTACGCAAATGTAGAGTGAAATTTCATTCATATTTTTTTCGCTAGTAACTGCGTGCTAATCTTTTTTGTTTGCTTTTTTTAATTATAAAATACCATGTTTCTTTTTAGTCGTTTAAGTAATTAGTTAGGAAAATTGAATGAAGCATTTTATTGAATAAAAAGCATTTTTTTTTCAACGAATGTCGAGTTTTATAAAAGCATGTTTCTGATAGAATGTGATTATATTTAATGTTATTATATTTTATTTTTTAGTTGGTTTTATCAATAATTAATACAATTTTAATAATATACATATGTATGCATAGATTTGGAATAATATATTTATCAATTTCTTCAATATATATTTTATAATTGTTAATATGATTACATAATCAACATTTTTAAGCATCGTAAAATTTCTCAACACCTTATATGTTGTCTTAATCTTTAAATAAATTTTTTAATTATCGTTCCGGGTGTATTTCACAGAATTTTTTTACCAACTATTTGATTAAATTTTTGCAATTTTAAAAATCTTATTCCTTACGCTATCATGTATATTATTTTATTATTAATATGCTAGAAAACTTAAGAGTCATTGCCTGCTAGCTGAAAATAAAATCTTGTTTAGAATTTAAGGACCCTCTGCTGCTTTAAATTATTCAATGCTGACTATTTATTTAACATACTGTTTTTTTTATTGCTTCTTGTGACCTCAGCATAGATTATCTAAAATAGTGTTGATGCTTTATAAGTCACTACAAGGAGTATGAAGAACATAAAGAGCTGATGAATATGTATCTAAAATTTTTAAGCATCTTAAAATATCTCAATCTTAAATGTCGTCTTGACATCTTAATTAAAAAATTTAATTTTTAATTACTTGGCCATGTGTGATTAAAAGAACTATTCAACTAATTATTTCATTATATTTTTTGCTATTTCTTTATACTACCATATAGGTTTTTTTCGAATAATATACTAAACTCTTTTGTTTAAGTTTTATTGTTGCTTAAAGCTTTTCTTTAATTTAACACTCATTAGTAATTTTTTTTCAAGTCTCAGAGCTATAGTCTGAGTCTGAGAATATTTTAAGTTTTCTGAGAATATTTTGAGACTCAGACTATAGTCTGAGTCTCAGAACTATACGCTGATAAAATTTTAGGAATGTTTTCATCTTAAAATTACTCAGTGCGAAACGTCTGACTGATCACAGTAAATAGATGAACCCTTTTCTCTAAGATTGAACCAACAAATTATTTATTTATTTACTTTATTGTTTCGTATTTGTTTGGTTTGTGAAAAGTAAATACATATTAGTGCAACTCAAAAAAACCACAACTGTTTGCTTTGTTTTTTAAATGAACAAATTTAGACTGCAATTTTATTTTGATGTTTAAACTTATATCTTGCACCATTAATTTTAAGAAAGCTGCTCTTTTATAAAAAGATGTTTAAAAATTTACTTTTGTTAAAATTACTTTTCACTTTAAGCATGATTCCCAGGATATTATTGTAGCATAATTTGTTATTAAAAAACGCCTTATTTTGTAAAACAGCAAATACTAAAAATTGAAATTTGTAAAAAGATTCTGAAGCCATGCCACAATTTTAGAATCATTAACTGATATGGAAAAATTAATAAATACGCAGCGAGACGGTTAACATACTTTTTACAGAAACTGGGAATACCAATTTTTGATATATTTCGGCATAACAGGATAATAATAATATTGCTCAAAGGAACCTGCTCAATAATTTTGTTATTTCCAGAATTGAAATCTGTTTTTACAAAACATAATGTTCCTTGAACACTAAAACAAGAAAAATTTAGCTATTATTAGTTATTTAAGCTTATTTCGTTAATTTATTGATAGCGGTATCAATTTTAAGGATATGTGATGGAAGCCCCGTTTACTATTTTACTATAAATGCATTAAATCATATGGCTTGAATAATTTATTTTCAGCAAATTATTTAATAATTTCTTGCAAATAAGGTTTTAAAAATAAACTCGATCGAAGTACGTCTAAAAATAACCTTAAATATATATAGAATAAACTTTGGAATTGATAAATAAAAAATACATTTTCAAACAACTTCGAGTAGGACAAAAATGCTAACTTCCTTGAAATAGCTCTCCTTGTAACTACTTAATTTTGATTCCAGGTGTTAGGAGACATTCCATTATCACTTTTGAAATTTCAATTGTAAACTGAATTTCTTTTTATGCCCTTAAAAATTTTACAAAGGCTAGCAATTAAAAAAATGTACTGCATTGATTTTTCTAGAAAGCTGCGACTAACTATTATTTTTTCAATCTAAGAACCTATGCCTTTATCTTACGTAAAATTTATTTTAATATCGCCTGAAACAATTTAATATACTGTGTTACTAAATAAATAATCCCAAGAAATTAAATCGAAAAGATAAAAACTTCCATTAATTTAAGAAGAAATAGATCATAATAAAAGTAGACATGTCTACTTTTATTTCCCTCTTCATATTTTTTTAAACCAGTGAAGTTTTTATCATCAATTATAATTTTTTTACATTTGGGTCTCGATTACTATTGTGAAAGGATTTTATGCTCGTAAAAGTAAACATATGCATTTTAATATTTTAACAGGATTCATGTGGTCTTAGAAAAAGCAAGAAAACCATAGCATAAATATTGTAATTATGAAGTAATCTTTAACTTTAAAATTGAAATTTTGAGACCAGATATTTTGGATTAATGAAATTGAATATTTTATCTTTTAAGTTTTTATGCCTCCATTTCAGTATCTTAAGAATCTTATGAACTCTGTATCGTATCAGATATATATAAAAAAACAAAGAAATCACAGTATCGGTATTTGGTGATAAGTGTAGATTATCGTAATTGAAGAACATGTTGTACGACATTTTATGGTGAATTTGAGGAAAATAAGTTTCTGAATATTTCGATATCAGAATGCTATTTTCAAATCATCTTTATGCAAAGTAAACCAGGCAACCTAAATATCTGGCAGAATGACGCAATTTTTTAAATAATGAATCATACTATATGCAACATATTATTTTAATATGTTATTCTTAAACATAACATATTTTAATGTTTTTGAAATGCCACTTAACATTCAGCAATTCCTATAGAAAAAAGAAACATCGTAAATTATGTAAAACCTTGTAAATGTGCATTAGAATTACTATACAATCTGCATTTTATTTTCCAAGTACTTTCTTTTGTTTCTTCAAACTTTCTTGCCTAGAAGACTCGATTAAAGCTGTAGAAATGATTATCCCTAAAATTTTGTATATAGCTATAATAAGTTATGTATATGTATTTGATTTTAGTATGAATTCCTTGTATAAATGAAGTTAAAATGACATAAAAACCCAAATAATTTCAGATTAAAAGCTCATGTATTCAAATTCTAGAAACTTAGAATATCATAAGAAATTATAAATTAATTTAAATTTTCTTTTCAAAGTATATGAAAAAGAAAAATCTTTGCTTCTTGGACAGAAATAAGCTGAAAAATTATCTATTGCCATGAAACTTCGAGATATTTTCTATTAACTATTAATATATAAACCTCTCCGAGCAATCAAGAACAATATTTAAATTTTTTTTAATAGTCTGAACTTTTTTGCCCAGCAACGGTGTAAAGTTAAGTATCCTCTCTTGAATTAGTCTATGAGTTACCTTAAAATATTCATTTGCGGCAGTGACTTTGCTTGGCTGTTTTTAAGGATTATCACCAGATATATATATTACTTATTTGCCCCCCTTTATGATCCAAATTTTCGAAATTTTGTCGTCACTTCCAATTTTGAAGGTCAGGAATCGAAATATGTAAAAAAAAATACGTTTATTCAAAGAAAGTGCGTTTTTGTGTCTAATTTCATAACTTGACTAATAGTTAGCACTAATTAATTAGCATATTTGAAGTTACCTCCAGAAACCATTAAGATTGACACTTAGTACATGAAAATCCGATCATTAGAACAAAATTTAATCTGTGATTTTTCCCCCCATTGTACAATATTTAAATTTTAGCAATAACCCACACATCAAATACCACTTCAAGAAGTACTTTGAGATCTTTTGCCTCAGGAAAAATGAGTGCTTTGATGTGAGTTTTGAAGTACAAAAATTTAACTGTTTTTTTACTTAAAGACATAATGTTCAATCAATTCACTGCTTATATACTTATCAACTTTTTTTAAAATATTTTTTTAATCTTTTTTTTAGCTCTGTGACTGGAGAAGGAGTTGCATATCTGCAAGCATACATTGCTCATATTACTGGAAATTTGTTCATTAAAGGAGTTTGAATAATATCTTAGAAATTTTTTGAGAACTGTATTGATCTCAAACTGATCTATTAAACCTTTATAGGTGAAAAAAATGAAGTTTCTCAAGTCAAAAAAATGAAGAAAATGTTAGATTTCTTATAAAGTTGTATATAATTTGCTAAATTGTAAATAATTTATTACTGAGAAGTTGTAAGTCATATTTGCTAAATTCTTTAGTTATACTGTTTCTCGAAGTATCTCATAACATCTCTTTAGTCTTTTTATTAGAGATGTATCATACAAGAACGAAATATTCTATATTTTTATAACTATGTTTATGTGATCTTTAGTTCCTATTTATTTATATTTCTTTTTTCTAATTTAACTATTACTTCATAAGATAGCTAAATCAAAACCACTGCAACTGTTACTAATCAGTATGGTAAACAATAGCTTTCAAAGAAATGTGAATTCTCAATTCAGCTCTCTATTTTATATCAAAGTTTTGCATTTAGACGTCAAATCCTTAGTATTCGTAAGAATTAAGGATTTTTAAGATAGTCATTTGTTAACACTATCACTTGTTGATAGTAATTTGTTAGTCATTCTAACATGGTACAATCAATAGCTTTCTCACAATAAATTGACACTAATTTAGTTTTCTAACTTCTTCATTGAAACAATTATAGTTATCATTTATTAAACTAATTATGAAATTGTCAAAATAGCTGTTAATAATATTTTTATGAGGTTATCAAAATAGCTAATATTGCAGATTAGCTATTAAATGCTTAAATATTAATTAAAGTTAAAATGCGTGAAAAATATTTCTTTCTGGAAAAACAAACTTTAGTATGATTTGAATTCCATGGAAACAATGTCATTTATTAAGTGTTAATAGATAAGCGTTTAGGTATCTAGGTTGAAAAAAAAACACATTTATATTGATTATATATTTTGAGATTACAGAACTAATTTGTTTTTTTTTTGTAAATGTATTCCATGTGTTTAGTATAAAAGCACTGGTTCCTAAAAAATCATGTTTACTGTAATATTAAGTGAAATAATCTTTATGGTATTAGCATGATGTTAAAAATTCTTTTAAAGTGTTGTAAATGCCATCATGTGAAATGAAGTCATAACTGGCCTATTATACTGTTTCTTCATTTAGTTTATTATTTTGTTATATTAATTGTACTTTTATATAAATTATTCATTGATTTTTTTAATAATTTATTGCTTAAAATTTTTTATAACCTAATACATAATATTGCTTCATTATTGCTTTTTTTAAATTAATTAATTCTTTTGCTACAAATCTGAATTTGTAACAAAGTCAACACTCAGTCATATTTTATTAAAATATAAAATATGGTGCTCTTTAAAAACGAAAGACAGAACACCATTTCTAAAACAACTATCTTTTAAACTTTCGGGATTTCAGAATTTTTTTTTATATTATCAATTGGAAATCCATTCTGAAGCTAGGTCATTACTGAAATTTTTGTTATTCTCAAATGAGAATCGAAGAAGCATGAGCATTTCTCTCTCCCCCTTTGCACGAGAAAAGTATTCTTGGTACATAATAATGCAGAAGAATAAAAACTTTTTCAAAAAACTCTGCAGAATAGAAAGCCAGAATGTTTTGCCACAATCTTGCAATGATTCTGCCACAAGAATGTTGTCCCAGGATTTTATCTACTGTTTCCATAATTATTTTATTAAATTATTTATGTTGTGTTGGCATACATAGATCCCTGGAAGTACTATTTTCAGATAAGGTAGCCATTTTAAAAACTGTCATTATATTTGCTGTATTCTAAGAAAATAAAGCTTTGTCAAGGTAAGGATATTTTATTTACTTTCCCTTCGGTTACTAGCAAAACTGTTTTAAATTTATTTTTTATGTTCATCTGATTTTTTTTAATGCTAAGATCAAATTATGCTTTTCAGTTTTGTGTAAACACTTCTTTTCAATCCAACCTGTCGAAGTAAAATAACTTGCAGTTTTTTTTTTCTTCTTTGTTAGTCTTCCACTCTGTTACCATGCTCATTATAGTTAATTGTAAATGTAGATTGTTTTAAATTAAAAATTGATTTTATCGATTTTTGTTTTGTAATTGGATTATTCTTAATTATTCTGATTAAGTTTAAACTAAAAATACATTTTTCTATGTTTTTCTTTTAACCCCTTAAGGATCGGTTAATTTTCAAGAAAACGGTCATGAAAGTGCCAATTTTTTGGCTTTTGTATTTGTATTACGTATTTGATTACTGCTGCAACTAGTTTAAAATAAACTAACTATCTACAATTACCTTAAAAATATCCTGGTACTGCCATCAGGTGTGTAAAATGAGAAATAAAATGTTTTCCATCAAAAGAAATAAATTAGTTTTATTCTTACTGGCGCGTTACTATTGAACACTCCAGCCCATCAATATCATGGGACCGAGAAATATCGGACGAAAACTCACCCCGTCATTTTCACGGGAGCGAGAAGGAAGGGGTTAACCCACTGACGGTTCTGCACGTAAAAAGTCGCATTTTAACCTGCAGTCTTCTCTGCATAGCAAAACCGGTTTTCCCATGTTAACTGATAGGGGAACTGTGTGTAGGGGAGAAACATTCTCCCAATTTTGCCCATTTCCTTAACCGCCAGTGGGTTAAAGCTTAGTATTAGATAGTAATATGAGGAGGATTTCTTACAACTTTTATTTATTGACTTTTAATTTAGTATTTCATTACATAATAAGTTTATTAAAAGAAATATATTGATAGGTATCAATATTTAATATAAGTCTAATAGGTATACATAAGTCTAAAAATCAGTAATTGGCAATGCAAGAACATTTAAAATTTAGCTCTACTACCCTGTTCCTTTTTTCGCCTCAATTTCTTACAATGTACTAAGATTTATTTCACTATATATGATAAAATAAATTTAGTAATTCACTGTGTAAATTTAAATGGAGTGTAAGTATGCATTTTTTTTTTTTTTTTAAATATTAACTTGAAACATAAATTTGAAGATAATATTTGCATTGTAATAAATGTTATAAGTGTTATAAATAATGTAATAAATGTTTGCATTTTTTCTATAAATAGTATTAAAAGGGATATACTTTTATCTTTTATAATAATAAAGATAATTACATAGAAAAATAATCGATACTATGTTGGTATCAAATTGTGATGTTATTGTTTTAGGTAACTTATTTATTTAAGCATTTTTGAACATTGGTAACAGAGGAGAACTATGCAGGTTAGAGGGGATATTTTATTCCATGTTTCAACTCAAAAAATGTCCCGCTGTTTTAAGTTTTTTGTGCATTTAAATTGCAGCTGAAATTTTTATAAATTGTGAATAATATTGAATTTTTTCAGAAAATTTTTTCCAATTTTTTTTTTAAACAACCCATAAACGCTCTTGATACCATTGCTTTACCTCTAATCATAATAAAAACTATATTATGTTTTCATTTCCAAGATCTCAAGTTGGGTCAATAGTTTTACCATCTTCTGAAACTACAAAATTTTATTCAAAGTATTTTGATTTTTATTTCATATTGTGACATGCTAATATTATCATAATGTGTTTTTGACTCATGTGTTTTGATCTTGTCCTGATTTAGTATATCAAGTTTGTAATTGCATACTGATTTCAATCTTGCAGATACATTTAGATACTCAAATTTTCTTGAAGATTTGAGAACTGTGGAACACATGTACAGTTTGTTCTGTAGTGATTGTCCTTAATATACGTTATTTGAATCCTTGTCAAAAAATAAAACAAAAAAGGTGTGCATTAGGTTCCTTTAATTAATATTTAAACGAGTCAAATACAAAGAAAAACAAAGAATGGGAAATCTTAGAAAAACTACCAATTTTTATAGAGCAAGCAAACTGATTTTATCATTTTTCATCCTACCTTTCTGACTAGTTATAAGATTTCTACACTATTTTTTTTCTTCCCCATTTTAATAATTAGAGGGGTTTTTTTTTTTTTTAACTTCATTTTTGACAAGGGTGTNGCCAGGATTTGTTAATAAGAAGTAATTCTTTAAATATCTCACCGGGGATTCCGTCCGGTCCCGGCGCCTTATTTAATCCTAAGTCGTCAACTACCATTTCCAATTCTGACAGGGTAAATAATGGGTCACTATGACCATTATGAATATATATATATATGTATAGATAGATATTTACACAAACAGATACATATTACGTTCATTTAAGCTTCATGAGTTTAACTTACTTTGACAGTAAAGTTTTTTATACTTTTTGTTAATCCTCAAGGAAGTTTGTATTGGTTATTTAATCTTCCAATGTTTTCTTTTTATTATCAGAATTAACTTATTTTTAAAGCACTCTCAATAAATTCGTACTTCATTGTAGCAGGATATTTTTTTTCAAAAATCTCTTTAATTGTACTTATAAAAAATGTTCCATGTGTTTTCATAGAAATATTCATGTAGTGTTTTATAAAATTATTTCTCACTTTTTTTCTCTTTATTGCTAGTGTTCTTTTACTTTCTTGTTACATATTTTATTCATCTATGGATGCATAATTAATTGCATCATGTTATATAATTTCTCCATGTGTTCACTTGTTGGCTTCCATTTTTATATATTGCTGAATTTTTACGTGCACTTTGTCATCAAAAAACTTAATTCAAATAGAAACTTACTGATAAATTAGATACACAAGTTAAATAATGAGTAAATAATAAATGAGTTTTGTGTAAAAATTAAAGTGTGAGGTGGAATTATGATTTGTTTATGAGCATTCCATAATGCCTCTCATTCAAATTATTTTATATTCGAGATGTATACATCAAATTTAAAACCGATGCATTTAAATTAAACAGTTATTTTCTAGTCTTTGTAAAAATCAAGCAAACTAAGAAGAAGTCTACCATAAATATAATTATTTTTTTCTGAATGTAAAATACAACGTCAGAATACATTTGTAGCTTTTCTTTTCTAATATTTGCACAGTAAAATATTAATTGTATGAAAGATTTAGTTTTTGATAAATTGTGAAATATTGAACATTAGTTTTATTATTAAATTTGTATTTCCATTTAATTTATAATGAAACAAATAAACATATAATAAGGCCTTTTTCTCAATGTCTATAAGAAAAGAGTTTTAGTGCTCATAAAACTCAGCTGCTTTCAACTCTGAAAAAAAAGCAATTTTTTCAAGAGTTAAAAAATGCTTTACTTTTTGAGTCCTTTAATTTTGGCTAAAGTTGTTCATTATAAAATTGTACAAGAGCATTTGCATTCATCAGTAGTGTAGTTTAATATATATTATATATCAATGTTCACTGTAATTACTAATTCTGTATTATTTTTACCTGTTATATATGTAATCCTTTTTTAAAAGTTATGACTGTAGCGTCACATATTTTAGTGAAAAATATTTTTCTAAGCATTAATTGCGTTTAAAATTTTTGTTTCAAGTTTTATGATCAGGTTTTTGAAATCGTCCACTAAATGCTTAGCTTACTATCGACTAACAATCAAATATGTAATTGTGTAAATTAGTCTTCCATGATTACATCATTTATGTTATTTGTTCCAAAATTTTATTTAAAAAGTCACTTGTAGTTTTTTTAATGAGTTAACATAAAAATTTAAACGTTAATAAACTGAAATGTTATTTTAAAAAATGCATCTTGTAACTATCATCCTTTATATGTGGATTTATTGTAATCTTTTGTTTTGTTCAAATGCATTTAATAAGAACCATAATTTTCTTCGTAATAACTGTGGCCGCATAGCCTAGCAATCTGCAACACCGTAAATTTCACAAATTTTGCAGAAAGGTGGTTTTCTTAGCACAGCAATCTACTTTTATCTATGATGAAAATAATGTAAATATAAATACAAAAATGTGCTTCTCCCACCGCCCGAATCAACTCCATATATAGGTCTGCAGACTTGTGATTATATTTATGAGACTTTTAGACTACATGCAAACGGGAACCTGATGAATGATTTTTTAATGGGTAAATATATTTCACCAATAAATTTCTCGTCAGCACCTCTGAATTTGTGTACACAAATTTTTTGCATTCAGTAAGAATGGTCTCTTGCGCTTTTATAGCTGACAAAAGTGGATAGGAAATTCAGGATTTCTGATGACCAGGAAGTAATTATGGTAGATTATCCGCTGTGGCAACCTTTCATACTTTTTAAGAAATAATCCGCAGTTTATACGCAAAAAATTATGATACTTATAAATGCTGCAGTTCTATTAATTATAGAAAAATAACTCAGCATAACATTTCTCTAAAGACTACATTAATTGCGAAGATTTATCTATGTAAATATATACCAGATTCATTCATGAATAAATTTGAAATATTTACAATTCTTCTTTTCTTAATTAAATGTTGGAAACTATATTTATTTTATAGAAGTTTAATTTATGAATGCCATCTAATTTTTGTGGATAATAATTATTCATAGATTTTACCGATTCAGATGTCTAATTGTGTTATGTGTGTTTTACATTTAATGGGGCTAGATACCCTCGTTATATGTTAAATTTATGCAATCTTAACTACAAATTTTTAACATTGAAAACTTTTGCGAGTAGTTTAATATTTTACAATAATAAAGAAAAAATTTTGTAATATTTATATGGAGAAAATAAGCATAGTGTCCATCAATTGACTCAAAATAGTATTATATTGCTGATATAAAAGATTACGAATTGAACTTAGATGCTCTAAATTTATTTGTAAAAAAGTTATGTTTCTCTGTGTCTTGGTGTTTTATGTCTTAGTTTATGATTTGTTTAATGGCATCATTTTCTATTTTTTTCAATATTTAT